AGAGTTGGTCAGCTCGTCTTCTCGTCGGACTGGCTGAGCACGGCACACTCCTGGTCCGGCTGACCAGATTTGGTCAGCCGGACCCTACCTTCTCTTTCGTCTGGTCCGAGCTTGGCTCAGCGCTGGGGGCGGACTTGTGGCACTCTCCTGGTCCGCCGGACCGTAGTTGGTCAGGGGCGGACCAGATGAACTGTATTCTCCAATTCGAGCCGAATTTGTGCATTATGTCCGGGGTTCCTGCCAAAGTCGAGAAATAGATCCGAAACCCTAGAATGGCTCTAAAAATGCCTAAGAATGTATGGAAACCGTTTAGAAACCAAAGACATACTCGAATAAAATCCAGATAAAATCCGAGCCATCACATAGTGGGAGATTGTTGGTTGTAATGCCCTAGGATGATCCGCGATATGACATTTTGACTTTGTATTGATTCATTGATTTATGAATGCATTACATTCCCGTTATATGATTGGCATGTTTGTTATATTTCGGTATCCTTGAATCATTATAGAATGATTCTAAACACCCTGGTCAGTTATCATTGTGGGAACAATGATGAATTAAGACTAGCATGAGGTGTGATCGATGCATTGGATGCATATCACAATCATGGGTACACGTTGTGAACGAGTGACTGGTTGACCCGCATGAGATTATCACATGGAAAGAGTCATGACTTGAATCTCACACAGCGGTTCGTTCTTGGATCCTTAGACCTGAGATGTCTAGAGTATCTGATATGAGGAGTGACATGTCTTGACTGCGTCAAACGTCGTCTTTAACCGGATGATTATAACGGCGTTGATCAGGTACGTTCACGAATCATATGGAGATAGTAGACATGCAATACGGGATTTGTCACCTCCTCAACAGGAGAGATATCGCTGGGCCCTCTCGTGGAAGTCGGACTATGAAAAACGCGTGGCCACGCTATAGATGAAGTTGCATCTATTTTATTAGTCGATGTGCCAAGACGAGAAAGCGGTTGAACTTGAAGAGTGACTCATACCATACCTTGTTCAACATATGATATCGTAAGACAAAGGATCAGAACTCGAGCTGTGATTGCCTCGGTTAGATCACCTCTAACTCATAATTCAATGTGGGTGGTCATGGCGTCTTGCTAGAGGTTAACCATGACTTGTAGATCAGGAATAGTTCTCGAGGCTGCTGCCACTGCGAATGGGCCTACAGGGTCACACACCATTATGGATGGACTTATATGTGAAGTATTGGAAAGGAAGACTTAGATTTGGTCGAACAAACGGTTTTCGGGCCAAATCAAAGTGTCGGGACGATTTCAGCCTTTTGACTCGGACCGAGTCAGTTCTGTTCGAGTCAAAGTCCAGAAAAGTGTTTTTGGACTTGCTGATTTTGACTCTGTCGAGTCAAAGTTTTGACTCGGACCGAGTCAATACTCAATGGGCCGAGTCAAGAGTTGACAATGGGCTTGGGCTGATTCGTTCTGACTCGATCGAGTCAGAGTTCTGACACGGACCGAGTCAATACTCGGAAAAAGTCTCTTTTCACAAGGATTAGGGTTTCTATCTTATAAGGAGATGTTGGATGCCGTCCTAAGAAATGAACTAATTTTCAGAACCCAAAGACAGAGCAAAAAACTCAGAAGAAATCGTTTCTTTAATGGTTTTAGCTCCCGGGATTATATCCCACTTGGTATACTTCACAGATCCTAGCAGATCGGTTCCAAAAGCGTTTGGAATCCTTCCCGTCGGTGGGATACATGTAGAGGGACTGTAACTTCAGTCCTAGGTGATTAAACAGGCCCCAGATCGAGTCCTACTTCCGTTTCTTCAGGAAAGAGGTAAGTATACGATTCCCACGGTGATATACATGTTCTTTCGGGTTATTGCACAAATGGTTTTGTGTGACGTTTGGCTAGGTTTAGATCTTTTCTTCCGCTGCATGAAACCTAGAAACCAAACCCTAGATCGATGAGATCGCATACTAGGAATCTGCAGGGAACCCAACAGAACAAGGGCATGGTATGAGCCACCCTTCAAGTTCAACCGTTTACTCGTCTTGGCAAATCGACTGATAAAATAGATGTAACTTCATCTATAGCGTGGCCACCATTTTCACAGTCTGATTTCCACGAGGGACCCAAAACGACATCTCTCCTGTTAAGGAGGTGACAAGTCCCATATTGCATGTCTACTATCTCCATATGATTTGTGAATGTATCTGATCAATGCCGTTATAATCATCCGGTTAAAGACGACGTTTGACGCAGTCAAGACACGCCACTCCTCATATCAGATACTCTAGACATCTCAGGTATGAGAATCTAAGAACGAACCGCTGTATGAGATTCAAGTCATGACTCATGTCCATATGACAATCTCATGCGGGTCATCCAGTCACTCGTTCCAAACGAGTACCCATGATTGTGATTTGCATCGAATGCATATGATCATAATCATCAATCACACATCATGTTGGTCTTAATTCATCACTGTTCCCACAATGACAACTGACTAGGGAGTTTAGAATCATCTGCAATGATTCATGGATATCTACCGAAACATAACAAATATGTCAATCATATAACGGGAAAGGTAATACATTCATAAACCAATGAATCAATACATAGTCAAAAAGTCATATCATGGATCATCGTAGAGCATTACAACCAACACCTAAGGGGTTGAACTCGACTACTTTGGTACTTGTCCCGAAGATACCAGGGGCAGACACTTTTGGTGATTTCCGCCCTATATCCTGTTGTAACTCACTATACAAGGTTATCTCGAAGATCCTAGTGACGAAAATCAAGCCTATCCTACCTGATCTTATATTGCGAAATCAATCGGTATTTGTTCAAGGTAGATTGATGGAGGAAAATAGCTTGTTGGTAGCTGAGATTATTAGCCGATATGGTTCTTCTCACTCTCCATGTACTGCTACCATCAAGATTGATATCTCGAAGGTTTTGACTCTATCCGATGGGACTTTCTCCTTGCGACTTTAAGAGCCATTGATTTGCCACAACCAATTGTCAAACTGATCGATGAATGCATCTCTACATCCTCATTCTCAGTTAGTATTAATGAAGGTTTATCAGGTTATTTCAAAGGCACTCGCGGACTTCGTCAAGGTGACCCACTCTCTCCTTACCTATTCGTTATAGGTATGAATATTCTTTCACACATGTTGAATTCAGCAGCCGAGGAAGGAAGATTTGGTTATCATCATGGATGTGAGGAACTTAAAATCACACACCTAGCGTTTGCTGATGATTTGCTCATTTTTTGTGATGGCACTTCAAGCTCTATTGCTACGATTCTGGACATCCTTAGAGAGTTCAAGGACCTCTCTGGGTTATCTATTAACATGGCCAAGAGTAACCTCTTCACCTCGGGAATATCCACATCTGAATCTGCATCTCTAGCTGCGGAAGTCAACTTGCCTTTGGGATCTCTTCCGGTCAAATATTTGGGGTTGTCGCTCAAACCCTTAGCTAGATATTCTTGGTCCTTTTGACGACTTTTGAAACTCACCTCTCTAGCCAAACAGTTCTCCCGCTATCAACTTGGTAGTGGCACTGAAATATTTTTCTGGTTAGATCATTGGACTCCATTTGGTAGGCTGATTGAATTCTTGAGAAGTAGTGGTCCGAATGAATTGGGAATTCCCAATTTGCTCGGGTTTCTGATGTGTTCGAAAACAATCGCTGGTTGATTCCTAACCCTAGGTCTGAGGTTCAAATGCAGATGATTGTCTACTTACTTGATATTTCTCCATCTCCTGATATTGAAGATGTTCACCAGTGGATATTAAGGAACTCAACCTCTTCAAAATTTCCTTCCAAGGCAGTATGGAACCAAATTTGGTGCACTATGCTTCAGGTACCATGGTTCCCCTTAGTTTGGTTCAAAAGGCACTTCCCTAAGCATGCTTTCACTACTTGGGCATTTAACCTAAATAAGAACCCTACAAAGGATCGATTAGTTATTTGGGGACTTCAAGTGAATCCCAACTGTGTTTTCTATTATGTGGTTGTTGAATCTAGAAACCATTTACTCTTTGACTGTCAATTTACGCATTCATTATAGCTAACGGTTTGTGGGCGACTCAAGCTGAGTTCTCCGCCATATGTCTGGGAGGATGTGTTATCTTGGCTGAACAATATTCCGACAACTACAGGCTCCTATTACATTGCTCTCATTGCATGGCAATATGTGATCTATGTCATATGGAGAGAACGTAATATTCGAGTTCATGACTCAACCTTCTCAAACATGCACTACAAGAAAAACTGTAATTTGCGACCGAAAAATCTGTCGCAACATGGAGAAGAATCTGTCGGTAAAAAATAGTTGCGACCGATTACGACCGATGGATGTCGGTCGCTAAATCGTTGTCGCAAAATCTGTGTGGTCGTGATTCTGTCGCAACTTTGCGACCGACAGATCTGTAGGTCATCGGTCGCCAATATACGACAGATGGCTATATGTCGGTAATCTGTCGCAAATTGGTGAATTCATTTCTGTCGCACATTACGACCGAAGTAGGAGTAGGTATTCGGTCGCTATGTAACGACAAATTCCATCAGTCGCACTCTGTCGCAAAATAACGACCAAATATAGGGGTAGGTATTCGGTCGCAACTGTCCGACTAAATTCATTGGTCGCACTCTGTCGCAAATGTAAATTTTTTAAAACAAATATTAATAAATAATAATTATTTAAATTAAATTAAAAATTTTAAAATAATTTTAAAAATATAAAATAAAAAATATTTATTTAAAATTAAAAAGTATTTATTAAATAAAAAGTATTTAGTAAAAACAAATTAAACACTAAACAAAAAAGTTATCCCGATTGTCTGATCCGGTTGTTTGGTCTGCTGGTGTCGTAGAAGGTCCGACTCCGGGCTGAGGAGTCAGAAATGGGTTGAACGGCATATCTTGCGCCGTTGGTGGGTCGTCTCGAGGAGGAAATAGCCGGGCGAAAAGCGTCTCGTAACGCGCAATCCGTGCCTCAGCTTCTTCAAGTCTAGCAATCTTCCTGCGATCGTCCTCGAACTCTTGAATCTTTTTCTTCAACAGCTCGACCTCCTTAGTGAGTGAGACGTGGTGACCGATCGATGTTGCATCCGGATGACCACCACCCAACTGAGTCGCCATTGCACCGACGCCGTATATACGTCCTTTGGCATCGGGTTGGACAACCTACAAAATCAAAAGTATACGTCAACTAAAAAAATATAAACTTACCTCCAGATAGAGGCTGTTGATTTCTGATGGCGAAAGTTGATCTTTGCCTGAATCGCATCCTCAATTTCCTGAACCCGATCGCTGATATAAGTACCGTCAGCTCGACGGTGAGTCTCCTGCAGCAATCGCAACGCAGAAGGTTCTTCACCTTCCTTCTGCATCTGCACCCAAAAAATTTAATTAAAAAAATTCAAAAAAATTTTAAAATAAATATTTATTTACTT